TCACATCCATGACCTACAAGAAGCCACAGCTGAGGCTGACCAGAATGACAGCCGTCCTGTCTTGCCTCAGACCAGAAATACAGTGTCTCTTGGGAACAGAAGGGTGTCACCATGGTCCTCAAGCCCTCTGACCAGACCAGTAGAGCCTCTACTGTCCTGGGGGGTGGCACAGTCTGGGACGAAGGCCAGTCTATACAGCTATGTGTCACAGGGCCAGAGGAAGCGGCAATCTAATGAGGAACAAGGCTGCCAACTGATGACCTAGGCCTGCCACCTTTCAAACTGAGATTCAGTCCCCTATATCACCAAGCAGCAGTTTCAGAGGATTGCGGAATGCCTGCAGCAGCTGGGATGCTCTGGGGACTCAGGTTCCAATCTTGATTTTGTCACTATCTTTAGGACCCGGGAAATCACACCCTCTCTGGGCCCAAGTTTCCTCCTCTATAAAAGAGGGGTTGGTCAGTATCCCATGGAGGCCACATGGCCCTGTGGACAGAACACTTTTCTGGAGTCAGAAAAGCTGCTTCTGCCAACCGTGTGGCTTTGGTCTCATCACCTCTACTGACAAAATGACCAGCCTCGTTCCTTCTCACTCTGGAATCGTATCATCCTGTTGCAGCAGGGCCCAACCCTGTGGCCAAGGCTATATCTGGGATTTCCTGGGCTAGCCCAGGGTCAGCCAGCTGCAGCCTGAGGGTCAAATCCTGCTGTTTGTTTCGGGGCGCTCACAACCTAAGATGGGTTTTACAATTTAAAATAAAGTTTAATTGGACTTTGAAACATCCTGGAAGGCCAAGCCATGCCAAAAACAAGGCTGCAGCCTGATATCTGCAGCTCATTGAGCCCGGGCTAGATCATGGAAAGGTCTCCTACCCTAAATGGCCTTTGCCCTCTGGGAGAACAATGGCCCCATTCTGGTGGAATCTCCAATCTAGGGGTTCTCCTGAGGTGCCCCTGCTCTTTCTCTGCCGCTAAGCACTACACAGAGCCCCCACAGCATCCAGGATGGTAGCCTGAAAAATAGCTCACTCTGCTGATACAAAGGAATGGCAAATGTTAGGAGCTTTGGAGGGTGGTCCAGGTGATGGATCCAGAGCAGACTGGGCCTTCTGGGCCCATCGAAGCAGAGAAGGACCTCTTTCCCAAAGATTCTGTTCCACTCAGTCAAAATGAAGAATTGATGTATGTTGACTAAGGAGCCTCTGGATCCCCCTCCCACCCCCACTCCAAGTTTGCTGCCAGGAGAGGGGTGGTGTCCTTTGGGGACCCTCACACGCTGAGCGTTTGACCAAAGGCTGTCCTTAGACACCACTCATTACGAGGAAGGAAGGCTCTGCGAGTTAGGGGGCTCTGGAGAGAGGCGCACATCCCCTCTAAGGGGGCCAGGGCCCCTCCAATGCTGTCCAACAGCGCCATCTGCTGGGCCACATTGCTCCCGACAGCCACCAAGATCCAGCACCAGAAAGATGATTTCAGCAAACACCCAAATGTTTACACAACCTAAAAACATATTTCAAATATTAAGTCAAAAGAAGAGTTTGTGTCAAGTGTTTAATTAGCACACTGCATTTGGCAGATGGCATTGAACAGCTGAAGGAGAGTAGCTCTTAAAGACAGGGTGCAGCAGAGAGAGAGCAGTGCAGGGTCCCCGGTCACCTGCCTGGTGCTGTTTCCCTGGACACATCAGTCCTGGCCCAGCGGCTCCAGGCAGGAGTCCTGGCACGCATATGGAACCACACTCTATCCCTACAGGGCCATGCAGATTAACAATGGGGAGCGGATGTTTATATAGTACTTTAAAGTTTGCAAAACAAGACGTGTATATGTATCATTGGGCTATTACATATGAAATTTTGTAGAATTGTAAAGTATGTAGAATTTTGCTATGATATATATCATTTTGCAATATATGTACATTAGATGTAGATTAACTTGATATATTGACTAGCACCAGAAGTAATACATTTTTTTATATATTGCACACATGTATATTGCACATTTATATACACATGTGTGTGTGTTTGGAGTAATATATCTATGTGCGTATATGTGGGGTAATACAAATATGTATATATGTGAGGGACAATACATATATGTATTATATATGGAGTAATATATGTATATATGCATATATGGGGTAACTACATATAGGTGTGTATATGTGGGGTAATACATGTGTTCTACATATATGGGGTGATACCTATATGTATATGCATGTATGGGGTAATACATATGTGTGTGTGAATGCACTCCCACTGAGGCTAGTCAAGTCACCAAGTATTTATTAAGCACCTACTGTGTGCCAGGCCAAGTGCTGAGAAGACACCTGGGGATACAAGGAAAAGTCAGACAAATAACCAAGTCGTCCCTGCTCTGGAGGAGCTCACAGCATTTTGAGGGCAGTTTGTGTGCTGGCACAAATGCCTGTGTCCAAACAACATATATGTCACATACATTGGAGGCAACCACAAGGAGAAGGCTTCCAGTAGAGGCGCAGATTTTAGCTGGGACTGAGAGAGCATCCCAGGCAACGGCGAGACAGCCAGAGAAGGAACCCTGTGAGGAGGTCACCCGCTGCTGCCTCTGGCCATGCTCAAGCTCCCAGGGGCGCCCTCCATGTCTGTTTCCTGGCACGAGTTCTCTTGAGATGTTCTCAGAGGTAGCTGCATCGTAGTGGGGGAAAAACTGGGGGGAAAGAGTGGCCCTGGGTTCAAATCCCAGATGGGTCATTCATTCACAACATGTTACCCTTCCTCAGCTATAGAAAGAGAGGGTCTGTCTCTTTCAGCTCTCCCTCCTGGGGCTGCAGTTGCCCTGGGGAGCAGGTGTGGCTGCAGGGGATTCCTCATGTCCCTTTCTTTGCTCTACGGTTGTTAAATGTCTTATGGACTGAGCAGGGCCCTCTCTGAAAGTAGGGGCTGGGGCTGGGGAGAAGTCTCTGATCTGAGCAGGCAATGACCCAGGGACCAGGGGAGCCATGCTGGTACGTACAGCTGCCTGATTCTCATTTTCAGAGGCACTATCTGCCGGGCAGCCATTGGGCAGGTTGAAGTGGGAGCCAGACGGGAGGCGTCACAGCAAGGCCAGGGAGCCCGTCTCTGCCCTGTACTTCCATTACAATGTTAGAAAACATCTGTAGGGGAGACCTCAAGAAGCAAGACAACGGCGACGCTCTGGTGGAAGGGCAGAGAGGATGGCATTCCAGGAGAAGGGAACGGGCAAAGGCACTGAGGCAGGAACAGACAAAATGCACCAGGCGTAGAGGGCCAGGACTAGAGTTTAGGACGCAGAGGGTTAAGTGCGCAGAGTGCCGTGAGAGGCTCCAGAAACCAAAAGGCAGGGCTGCACCTTCCAGGAGCGCCACTCCTCTCTTCTGGCTCTGTCCAGGCTTCCCCACCATAGCTGTGGCCCTCCCGAAGTGCTGGGGAGACGCCCAGATCTCCACCAGCGGGGCCCTCAGAGCACGTTCCTTGGCGTTACCACACCGCCTGCCCTCCCTGCAGCCCAGAGTGTTGATACACAAACGCCCTCCCACCCTTGTCCAGTTCTTAGGCGGTTGTGTTTTCCTGCAGCCCATGACGGGATTCTTCCACAAGGCTGGCCTACAGATGAACCCTAAGAGATGGCTGGACCATCCCAGATAACACCCACAAGCACCTGGTGGACGACAGCCCCTAACTACACCAGTAAATGCAGCGCGCTGAGGCTGCCAAGCTCCTCCCTGTTACAAGTCGGCCTGGCTGTTTCCAGTGCCAGAGCCTTTCCAAGCTGGTATGGATTGAGCATTCGACGTGGCGAAGCTTGGCTCCACGTGGGTAAGGGGCTCTTCTGGCCTTCCTCCATGTGCCCAGCGTGTACCATGGCACTCACTCACAGTGAAGTCTGTGATAAACACTTGGGGACTCTGCTTAGCCCAAAGGCTGAGTCTGCACGTCCCAGAGTCTGGGAGGCCTGACCACGCCCAGGTGAGGGCCTAGACACAGGTTGGCTACCAGGTGACTACTTTGCAAGCTGCAGCAAGCTGGTGGTGGAGGGAATATGCCCACCCCATATAAGACACCCCAAAGAGTCTTTCAAAGTCGATGTATTTCAGTGACATTCAACAGATGTTTACAAAGCAAATTTCCATGTTTCCAAAATTATTTGGTACGAAGCCCTCGATAAACACTTTTAAATCCCAGTAGATACAGCAGAAGGCTCATCACCTGAGCTTCTTGGGTGTTTTGCTCAACAGGTTTTGAAGACGTCATTCTCTGCTGATTTTTAAATGAGCACATGACACCCCAGTTTCTTGCTGCGGGACACCTCCTGGGCCTGCATTAACCTCAGCCAGGTTCCCACTGCCTCTGCCAGCCAGGCACAGAGAGTTTCGTGCTGCCAAACCACAGTCTGCCCTGGGCTCAGAGATGGGATGCTAAGGAGGTGGTGCTGAAAGAAGGGTGGCAGAGGTGCAGACGGCTGCCTGTCCTGGGCCCCTCCTCTAGGAGGTCAAAGGGAAAAGTGCCGGGGACTAGCAAACCTTTTCTTTTACTTCCTCAGGAAATTTGGCCAGAAGGTGCAGTTTCCATGGAAACTCGGAACCGGAAAATGCTGTCTCCCTCATGGGTGACTTCAGAGTGGCAGTGCCCCCGGGACAACCTGGCGGGGCCACAGCACTATCTGTTATATCACAAGGTCTGTCACCCCATGGGCTCCCAAGATTTGGAACCACCAGCTGTCCTGGAGGCACTGGGAAAAGAGGCCCCCCTCTCAGAGGGCCACAAACAGCAAAGCTCCAGGTAGCGCCTCACCCTAACGAACCTTTGCTGTGGAGCCAGACTCTGGGCCAGCCTTCTACAAACCAGCAAGCAAACAGGACAATAACCAGGCAGAACACGCTCATTGATTCACTTCCTAAAACATGACCCAGGTTTGCCCTTCAGGAGACTTTTCTCAAAATGATACTCGACTTTCAAAGTGATTTCATAACATAACACAGCAGATGGGAGTTATGGTCTTACCTGATGAACAATTTTAGAAGAAAAGTCTTGAGCCCTGCAACCCAGAAACAAAAGGAGACATAAGTGGAGACGTTCACCCCCACCCCCAACCCCCGTAGTTAGGGAGGACCCATAGAATAAAAGGGAGGATCTTTCCAAAACTCAAGGAGAGACTGGCACCATAGTGAAGCAACTGCCAGGGGCTACAACAGACAATTCTCAAAAGACTCAAATCAAACTCATCTGGAAGAACAGGCTTAGACAAGAGAAATGATGGTGGCAAAGCTGGGAAGGAGGAAGACGGGTTAAGTGATTATTGTTCTGGCTGATGAAGCAAACTTTTAAAAAAAATTTTATATTAATTTATTTTGATTTATCAATAATCACTTCCATAGGCTCTTGAGTTTAAAATTTTTCTCCCCCTCCCTCCCCACCACCCTCCCCAAGACTGTGCACAATCTGATACAGGCTATACATTTACATTCATATTAAGCATATTTTCACATCAGTGATATTGTAAGTAGAAATTAAAACCAATAGGAGGAACCATCAGAAAGAGGAAACAAAACTCAACAGAAGAGAAAACAATTAGCAATTCGGCTTCCATGGTTCTTTCTTTGGGTGTGGATGGCATTTTTCATCACAAGGCCTCTGGAGATGTCTCAGATCCTTGTATTGCCAGGAAGGGTTAAGTTTATCAATATTAGTCATCACATGACATGGCTGTTATTGTGTACAACATTCTCCTGGTTCTGCTCACATCACTCAGCATCAGTCCATACAAGTCTTTCCAGGCTGACGAAGCAAACTGTAACTGATCTTTTATCCCGAGCTCTTCACTATGTCTCCTCACATTGTAAAAGCTTGCCTCTCATTCCAGAATAGAATAACTATAATTCTAAAATGGGGAGGGGGAGGGGGGAGGGACAGGGGGAGAGGGAAAGAGGAGGCAGAGGGAGAAGAAAAGGAACAGGGGGAGGGAGGGAGAGGAAGACAGACAGAGATTTTCGGGCAATGAAGTCATTTGGTCTATCATCTTGGGGTTTCTTTCCCTTTCACCAGAACAATCACCAATTCTAGTAAGGAAGATAACACCAACATGACATATCTAGAAGCTTGCTGTGTCCAGTGTATAGGGTGGAGGCATTAGCACTAAGTGGGGCTGAGAAAGGCTTCCTGCAGACAGGGGATTGGATCTGAGCTTGAAGAGAGTGACTACGAGGTGGCGGGGAAAGGGCAGTTCACTCGGAGCACGAGGCACAATCAGTGCAAAGGCTCGGAGGTGGGGATGCAGAGCTTTGTCTGTGGAACCGCAAGGAGGGAGGCATAACCAGATTGGAGAGCCCCGAGGAAAGGAAAGTGTAAGAAGGCTGCAAAGCAGGAGAGGGACAGCTTATGAGGAGCTTTAAGAAATGCAAGTCAAAACAACCCTGACTTCAGCTCACACCCACCAGATTGGCAAAGACAACCACAAAAATGAGAGCAGTATCTGTGAGAGGCCCTGTGGGGAGCTAGGCACACTAATGCAGTGTGAGAGTTAGGAACTGGTCTGACGGTTCAGGAAAACCACATGGAGTCATACCAGAAAAGTCATTCACATGTACAGCCTGTACATCTCCTCTCTGACCCACCACTAGCTCCCCAAGGTGTCTTTCCTAAGGCAGACAAAGAAAGGTCCTTTAGACTAAAGCTTGTGCGGCACGCGCACACACGCATGCACACACACACACACACACACCACTTAGCAAAGACAGCAAAGAACCTGTTGTTGTTTGTGTTGTTTGCGAAGAGGACGGTGACATCAGGAAGGTGAGGCCATGACATACAAGTGAATTGGGTTTAAGGGAGGGAAGGCTGTGCAAAGTCACCGGCCTCACTCTCTCCTCCAGAGCCTGAATAGAAAGTGGGTCCACATCCACAGGGTAATGACCTGGGCATCAGACAGGACAGCAGTGCATTGTGAGAGAATAAGCATGAAAGCTGCAGGGGCCTTGGGAAGACAGTCAAATAAGACATAGTAGGTGTGACCAAGGACCACACTAAGGCAACAGAAAGCAAAGGCCTCAGGACTGTGCCCAGCGTGTGGCCCACCCATCCTCCCTCACCAAGAGCTGTGTGAGGGGACACTCACACATGCATTGAAACCTCCAAGGACCAGGACAAAGGTTTGGGTCAACAGGAAGGAAAGATGTAACCCAGAGGCAGCAGACGACTGTGCCCGGGACCTCCAGAGGGTGATGGAGATGGACAAAGGGAGCCTCAGAGGAAGCTAGGGGTGGCAGGAAAAGGAGGCCCTGGAAACAGCTGATTATGCCCACTCTGTTATCAGGACCACTTTCTCTCCAGAAGAATGAGTATCCTAGGGTGGAGAGCCAGGCTTCTATGGAAAGAGAGACGGAAAGAATGGAAGGTAGAAAAGTCTAAGAAAAAGGAGATATTCTTGCCCCTCTACTGGGGGCCCCAGAGAACAGAGTGAGGAAGGATGACTGGACAGAATGGGGCCAGGGAAGGTTCAGGTAGATGGGAAGGAGATGTGAGGAATCAAGAGAAAACCCCATCTTTAAAGATGAGTTCACAAAGACCTATTTTGAATTCAGATAAACCCAGTGAAGTTATATCTAGAAACAGCAAATGCTTGTGTTCACGCCATGCGAGCCCCGAGGGGAGTCTTCTCTGAAGATGCTGGGGGGAGCACAGAAAGCTAAAGCCTCTCCCTTTTGTCTTGTCCCTGCCCCCACCCCTCTTCCCTCCCACTGACACAGCAAGGACGGTCTAGCGATGAGGGCGGTGACAGGAGATAGCTGGTCTGAAGAGCCCGGCCACAGGCCTGTCCCATCCTGAGGGAGCCCATGCCCACTTCACCTCCCACCTAAACCAAACCTAGATGAGCGTTGTCCTCCTGCTTCTCTGGGGCGTCTCCACTCCCGTGGGGGGCTCTCTGGCTGATGAACTCAATAAACCCTTGTTGGTTCCTAAGTTTATGGTAAAGGTTTGGTTTAGAGATTTTGCTTCTGGTTCTGGTTCGTGGCAGCCCCGACAATTCTCAGCACTGGCTAGGTTGACGTGGGCAGCCACGGCCACTCCTACAGATCCGTGAGCTAGAGAGGGAAGGATGGTCTGCCCACTGCTAGAATCACCAATCCCTGGAGCATCAGTCATGCATCCACAGGGTGGGGCCAGATGTGCTGCTAGAAATTATTGCAATGGAGATGAGGATGATAGCTGAACACAGGAAGGGGCTGTCAGGGCAAAGAGCACCTAGTGGGAGGGCCTGAAGCTTAGAGGGGTTAATAGCTTTCCCAGTGTCACACAGCAATTAAGGATCAGACTGGAACCCAGCTCTTCCACTAGCAAAGCCCAGCCTTCTCTCCACCACAATACTGTCTCTACCCAGAGAGACAGGACTAGATGCATAGACCTTCCAAGGGAGGAAAGTCCCTCTACCCAGGCAGGTCATGCAGGTCAGCAACTTAGAGTCTTCAGAGATGCCTGAGGGGCCTCCTCTGTCCCCAGGCCATGCTGCCTCCCCTCGATCCTGAGGCTGCTTTGGGTCAGCAAACTCTGTCATTTGTGCTTCCAGAGAGCATCACAGCATGTGCCCTTCCCTGCGATGATGGTGGCCTCTCTGCAGTATCTCCATATGACATTTTGGTTTCTTTAACCAAAACCTCTGGAAGAATGACCAGGAGATACCCACAGACACTAACATATTCTGGAGGAATGACTGTGTCCAGCCAAATCACCAGAGTGAGCTCATTCAGCACATGTGTGCCTGGCCATGGGGAGGGGAGGCCTAAAGGCTTTGTAAGAACCTCTGGGATCTGCCCAGAGTGACCCTGAGGAAAGCAGCTGCAGCCTCACCATCAGGAGAGCACCCACTTTAAAACCCACACACAGCGCTTTACAGACACTAACTCTTCAGATCTAACCCCAAAGAAACTCTAGTGTAATTTAGGAACCCTTTTCTACTTGGCCACTGGGTGTCACACTCTCCTAAAAATACCCAGGCAATACCTGCGATGTTGCAAGACGGTGATGAATACCCCCTCATCGCTAAGCCCAAAGCCAGTCCTCCATGCCCTCTTAAGACCTTCTCCATTGCTCTTACTCTCAACTGGGGACTCTGCCCAGCCCTAGAACAATACTACGCCCCTGGTCTCCAAGAGCTCTGGATCAGAGAGTAGCACCAGACGGCAGCTGGGAGGACAGGAAGGCAAGGAAGCTCTCCGTGGTACTGGAGTCACCATTGGTGCCAGCATCTCTAGGGGATGTGCTCTGGGGGCAGCTCCATCTTCTACTGGAAGCCTTTCCCAAACCTAGCACATGCCAGGTGGTGCCTGCCCTTCCAAATGTCCTTGGATTTAACTACTTCATACAAATAAATATGTGTGTACATATATGTCTCTGTGTATACATATGTGTGTATATATGCACACGTCTATACATTTATATCTATTATATATATCACTTTATATTTAGATGGCAAACATTTTTGTACGTTCTCATTGCCCTCCCCTATTAGAGCAGAAGCGCGCTGCAGCAGGCGATGTTTCATTCTTTGTCCTCGGATCCCACAGTCATGCCCAGTGGCTGGCCTAGAGCAGGCTTTTAATCAATGTTGGTTGATTAATTCATAGCAGCATTATTGATCACTGCAAACAAAACAAAGCTAGAAGACATGAACAGGCCAACAGAACCACAGTTAGTGAGGCTGTGGTTCATTAATGTCATGTGATTCAATCGATGAGAAAGACCAAGAGATCCAGGGTGGGACCTCTTGAACAAATTCAAAGTGAGAACATCGAATCTAGAGGAATAAGTGAGAGGCTAACTCTGCCCATCTGTGAACAACAAAGCACACTAATGGAGACCTGAAGGGGGTAACTGAGAGCTACTAACTTCATGTGCTGAAATTCATTAAGATGGAAATCATTACTAAGCAAGGGTAGTGGGTGGGAAGGTAAACATTTCTATAACACCTACTGTGTGTCAGGCACTGCACTCAGTGCTTTACAAATATCTTGTTGGATCCTCATAACAACGCTGAGAAGGGGG